AGCATGGTCTCGAGAATCAGGTCACAAGTCAAAAACCATTTGAGTCAGGGTCATGAAATCTTTAGAACATGTGTAAAATTGATAAACTCGAGAGGCACTGAAAGTTTCGTCGCGATCGGCCGCTTTTTGCGCGAGTTATGTGCGAAAAGCCGAGGTGGTCCGTTCGCCCGCCTATAAGTGCGAGGGTTAATTTTGGCTTTTGATGCCGAATTCTGTTTTATGTCGCTTATTTCACCTGATAGAATACAGTCCGAATTAGATTCGCTTCACTTCACTTCATAAATATTTTGTTGACTACCAGTCCACAAAAGCTCAGAAGTATATGTATCCTTTCATTTCAATCCATTATTTCTGTCAGAGGCATATCAACCTTGACCCGCAACTGACAATGTGTTTTAATTACAAGAAAATACACTTGTAATTCCAAAATACCTATATTGCCAGTTTTGATACCGTTGGCTTGAGGACACGTGACTAGCCAAGTTCAGAATGTTCTAAGTAAAACTAAGTATCATAAAGCGAAAAAATGATGCTGCTAAAATCAAGCCATTTTGATAGCGCTGTGGTGGACATGATTGCGTTTTCATGAATGTGAGGTCTGCTGCCAAACTACTATCATTTTTCTAATGGTTTCTTTCAGGATGTGTTCTCTCATCCTTTTTTTAAACACTGGCATTTTATCAACTCACCTCTGAGCTTCTTAAGCCGAGAAATTTTGAAAAATCCAAAATCATATCAACTCACCCCCTGGGGGGTGGTGAGTTGATATGAACTTTGGCGTTTTAAAAAAGGGGCTTAATATATACATTTTTTATTCATTTTTGCTGATTGCCTCCCCAAGGCATGTGCCATGAAACTGGCACAAAAAGAATTCCGTAAATGAATGTGGCTTTTAAAGAAATCTAGAATAACCTCAAAATCCATATCAACTCACCCCGGTTTACGGTACTTACTTTACTACTACTCTGATATAGAATCACAAAGTTCATCCAGCTTTAATGCTTTCTGTCAAAAATCAAATTTCAGTTGAATGTGTAAAGATTCATAAAAAACGCTTTTCCAAAACTCAAAATCGACAGCCAGCCCATTACATCTCGTCGCGCGCGCGTCTGGGGCGGGCCGTCGCGCACCGGCGCGGTCTCAGGTGTGCAGATTTGCGCTCCGTGCCTGCGCCGTCGGTGACGTCACGCCGCCGCACAGGGTCACTATTGGTGCCAGCTGGCGCGGCGGCGGCGGCGTGACGGCGGCGGCGGCGGCGTGACGGCGGCGGCGGCGGCCGGGAGTCGCGGCGGGTTGCCTGCTCGGTGAGGTGGTGCGCCAAAGCGCGGCGGCGAGGTGGAAGGGTGTCTGACGCAGGAGTTTGACGTCTGTGGCTGACGAGCCGGTGGAAGTGTGAAGTGGGAGCGGTGCCTCGGCGGTGAGCGTTGCGATTCGGAGAGATTCTGTGCGGGAGAGCGGAGGAGACGTCGTGACTGTCACCGGTCAACATGGAAACAGCATCTGGTGAGGACGCTATAGCGCACAATATCCCTTCTCGTACCCGGACTTGCGGGCTGATGGGCAGCGTGGCGCCTGTAAACCTTGTTAGAGCTGAAACCCCTACACTGCTTCTGGCAGCTTAGCCACATACTCACAAGGTCACCGGCGCACTAGCATGTCCTCTTCTTGGCTCTCAAACCAGGTTTACACAGGCCAGCGAGTGGCTGGCCTCGGAAGTTTTCAAAAATCAGAACAGCAGTATCCATACCTCTCACTTGCCAACAACTGAGTGGCAGACAGCCACTCATACCACAACTAAACGATATATTAGAGCGCGGGACGGCTTATCATGATGTCACGGAATCAGATGACTGCGTTCATCGTGGAACTTATGTCTGGGTGGACGATAATTGAGACGTGTTTCCCCGCGGCTATCGGTCGTCTGAGACTGCCTGTCATCGATCAGCGCGCAGCTGACTGTCAGTCAGCAGCTGTGTCTGTCCACCTCCGATCGTCGACCGTCGGCGCCAGTTACAGGACATGTCCGGTCCGGGCTCGGTGAAATGGGGCAGAAATCTGTCATTGTGCCTACTGGGAGGGTGGTGTGGTGATCGATCTGGAAGGTTGTTCGAGTTTGATGAAGTGCCGACGTCTCTCCACGTCTGTTTTATGTCGCTGTGCCAATTTTTGCAACAGATTTGTAAGCTTCATCATGATAAAGTGGGGCAATCCCTGACGAATTCATTCCTTTTTCATACGGTAGCATTGATCATACTGAAGCACACATCACACTCTTCCGATGGGTCGCTCCGATAGCTCAGTGGGAAGACGTAGTCAGTCTCCTGAGCTGATGATAAAGAGCCCGGTTCGAGCCTCTGTGGCTATCGCTATTCTCTCGTTGGATTTCGGTCTGTGGCAGTGGTCGTGGTATACACTACAGGCCAGTCGAAATTTGTGAGCGGGGCGGGCTTTGTCCAACTACGATTGACGCATTATAATGACTCGACTTTTAAGTCTGTCGTGTTCTTGGACTTTTCTAAACGGAGTGTAGAAGTCAGGAAGTAGGACGTGCGCCGCATCCTAGCATTGTGCGTGTTTGGTCTGAAGACAATATACAGGGTGTTTCACAATTAACGTTACAAGATCAAAGCTCAATATCTCTGGGCATAATGACTTTAATTCCGCCAAAATTGCACCATATGCACCCAAAACCACAGAGACCAACATCCTTAAGTCCTACTCGAAGTGGCCGCCTCCAGCCTTCACAGCGGCAGCCAACCGTCTCCTGAAGTCACGGACTGCGGCACGCACAACCGCGTCGGGGATCTTCTGCCAGGCGCTGATCAGAGATCGCTTGAGATCGTCGATCTTCTTGTGCGGTTTGGAGCAGGCTTCCTTCTCGAGCACGGACCACATCGCGTAATCCATCGGATTTAGATCTGGGGATGATGGGGGCCACTGGTCCTTGGTGATGAAGCCTGGGCAGTTGTCTTCGCACCACTGTTGGGTGACGCGCGCGCTGTGGCTTGTTGCGCCGTCCTGCTGAAAAGTCCAGCCCTTGTCTCCGTACGTCTTCTTGGCCCACGGCTTCAGCGTCTGTTCAAGGATGGTCTCGATGTAGGTTTCTTTGTTGATTTTTACGCCCTATGGCACAAAAACCAACGGCGACTTGCCGGCCTGGCTGACGGCCGCCCAGACCATCACTGAAGCGGGTTTCTGAGTCCGGAAGATTCGGCGGTGCTTGTCCGGCACGTTTCGGCTGTCTGTCGCCAGGACGCGGTCGTTCTGGTGGTTGAAACTTTCGTTCTGGAGTTTCATGCACTAGTGCCCCCGATCCGCATCGCGGGGGGCCGCAGGGGGCACGCGTTAATCCACCCACACATCCCAGCCGCCAGGTCGGCTCGCCGGCCGGCACGCAAGCCACCTTTCTGACACGAGGTAGGAAATGACGTCATTGCCATTGAAGCCTGTGCGTTGAAGACTTGAAATTCATACAGGAGGTGCGTAATAGATACCTGTTGACTACACCACGCAGCCATGTACAGCCGTCTTCAAACAGGTCCGCGAGCAACAAGCTTATCACACAGGCTCTAATCCTGATATTCGAGATAATCGCAGACTCGGACCTCATTTGGATCAGTCTTTCATCTGCTACACCCATTATCTGTCCAAAGGGCATTCAAAATGCAATTAACCAGGACCAGAATTATGTGCTCTTTCCAATGGTGTATAGTGTTTTTAGAAAAACCACCTTTAAGTGCACCAAAATTGGGTGGGAACTCTTGTAACGGTAATTGTGAAACACCCTGTACCTATGATCAAACCATAATGCCATGTGCATTCAGCCTTCGCCGCTTTATGACGTGGCACGTTCCTGCGTAGTTCAGCAATTCTGCCACACTTGGGTGGCTGGTTTGGGGGATGGGGCGGCGAGGAACGGCGCCGGTGGCACCCGCGGTGCCTCGATCAATGGCCGAGCGCCCTGCAGGGCCGGCGCGCCGGCAGGCAGGGTCAGTCGGCGCTGCGCCCGTCCGGCGGGAAGGGCGCCTCACCTCCTGGGTCAGTGGCTGGTGATCTGTGTCAGAGCCGCGGATGGCTGGTCAGAGCGACACTCTGCCTCACACCGGCCTAGCGGCCCGCTGTTCAGGTCAGATCGGTGAAAGGGGGGTTAGAGGTCTGGCTGAGATCGGGGAGAGCACCAGCCGCTTGGGTAGATTGGTCGGTCGGGTCGAGTCACTAGCTTTTCGTGCTTTATTTGTAGATTTTTTTTTTGTCATTTCATAGTAAAGGATGTGCCGTACATGAATATAAATCGATAATTATTATCACAAGTAGTACTTAGGCTGATTTTCTGATGGATGGTGGTGTGTGCAGGTGCCGCCACAATACCAGAAGTGTTTCGAAGCCATATGCAAAGGACTGAAGTTTGTTGAAGCCCTACCACAACCAACAATTTTCAGTTATATACCTATTTTCTCAGTCTTCCTGCTCTTCCTGCTCCATTTTGCACCCATACGTCCCGTTTCCGGTCGGTCTCTGAATATCCCGCTACCAGAGGTATATAGACTTCCTAATGCGGGCAGCGGGTACCTCCCATTATTTGATTATCCATTGTAAGTTTGTCCTTCAGTAGTGCATCATTCCTTGCTTATGCTGTGGCACACCTTATGAGTAGGTACGTCTCATTCTCCATATCACTTCTTTAGTGCCGTGTAGGTGAGGGCGGTCGTGCGCTTGTATCTTGACTTCTCTGACCCGTGTCATTCTCCCAGTTGGAGGCAATGACGCCGTTTGAGGGCGGCCTGGCGCTGGTGTCTGTGTCTCTGTATTACCTGTGTCTCTGCTCTCCCCGCAGTTGGAGGCAATGACGCCGTTTGGGGGCAGCCTGGCGGTTGTATCTGTATCTCTGTATGACCTGTGTCTCTGCTCTCCCGGCAGTTGGAGGCTATGACGCCGTTTGAGGGCGGCCTGGCGCTGGTGTTTGTGTCTCTGTATGACCGGTGTCTCTGCTCTCCCGGCAGTTGGAGGCTATGACGCCGTTTGAGGGCGGCCTGGCGCTGGTGCGCCACCTGCGGGACCTGACGCTCGGCCGGCCCGCCATGGCCAACGCCAGCTGTCCGGCCGACTGGTGCAGCCACGGCGAGTGCCACAATGGCACCTGCCTCTGCGAGGTCAGTCCCGAGCTACTCACTCACTCACTCACTCACTCACTCACTCACTCACTCACTCACTCACTCACTCACTCACTCACTCACTCACTCACTCACTCACTCACTCACTCACTCACTCACAAAGCACTCACTCATTTGCCGTCTTTCTCATCGCTACTGATCTTTACATCTTTATTCTCTTTCACTGATGTTAGTTCTCAAGCGTTCCGGATCATTTTATTCCTTTGTTGAGAGAGGGAAGGTAACGATGAGATGCCTAAGTGTCCTTGCCTTCTCCATTTGTCAGCTGGAACAAAGCAGGTCGAGTCACTTGTTGGACCTGGTAACCATCAAGGACTGGGCCGCGTTTTCCCCTGTTTTGGTGTGTAATCAGCTGACGGACATTTCATACCTTGGGCTCGCGTGGAGAGTGGTCCTCTTTTGGTCCTGACACGCCACGCCATGTGACGCAATTGGTAATACCGGAGATAATGCCGAGTGTTAGCAAGCATGGTCGATGTTTGATGAGCCGCAATAGCGCGTCCGACTGTGCTCGCGCGGTGTGCTCGCCAACCGCTCTCAGCGCCCGGATTTGACTGGAGAGTGGAACCTGTCGGCCAGACCTGTAATCTTCATTTGTGTCTGCTTCTCAGCTAATTGATCTGGTCTTTCACTGGAGCTCGTTTTGTCTTCCTAGCGTGTCGCTGGGAATAGAACTTGTCGATATAGACTGCCTCCTAAATGAACCTGTTATCTAACCTGCCTCCGGAGTGGGATTCGTTGACCGACCCGCGTCTCCGCCTCCGCCTTGGAAGCATGTTCGGTCGTCTGAATCAATCCATAGTCGTTCATCGGCGAACACCGCACCATGGAAGTCACTCCAGCCATGTTAAGTGTCCACGCCGGGCTGTGGTGTGGTCGTCTCGCACCAGACGTCTGTGTCTAGCAGCGGCGCCGGACAATATCGTCCGGCGGCGGGGACGATGGCTCGTCTCCTCCCACACCACATAGTTACTTCCGGCGTGGCCAAATGACGGCGCGGTGGTGAAATAACGTCAGCCGCCGGTGACTCGACCGTCTTGTGTCGGCCGGCTGGTCCGTGTTGCGCCACAGGCGGCCGGCGCGGCGGCAGGGTTTCACCGCTCGGCCGTGCGCCGTGTCGGCTGCGGTCTGCAGTCTGGCGGCAACAGCGGTAAACAGCTGGTGGTAGGCGAAAACAGACGGCTGTCGGTGTGATGCGCTCCGAAGGCAGATGGTGAGACTGCACGAACGGATGTGGGGCGGTGCCGGGAAGATTGGCGGTTCTGAGCCCATGGCGCTGCCTTTGTGTTTGTGTGGCGCTCTCGGATGCTTTGTTCTCCCGGTAGGCGACATTTCTGATTTACTTTGTGCGCCAACGGTACCGGCACGACGCGCACAATAGTCGCCCTTAGTGATGACATTTACCTCTACTGGGTGGGCTTTTGACCTAGACCCAGTATTTTTTTTCTCTCTCTCGACCGCTATCAACAAGCTTTGGTTCGGACGTAAACCCAACGCCACAGGGAGGGTAATCGTTTCACTTTCCTTGGCTGTTTTTTGGCCTATCACTCTGGGCGCCAGGTGCAAACAATCAGTTTACCCGAGTGTCTGACTTTCGATTCCCGGCGTTCTCGCATCGCTGATGCCTGAAACGCGATGGCTGCTGGTGAGTGTCAGTTTTGACCGGCTGCTCTCACTCTCGGGAGGAAAATCATCGATTGGGTTGGATGATTTTGGCACGCCAGCTCGGTTATGAGAGCACTGTGCGCATCAGCATGCCAAACCGATGTGCTTCCCGCGGCGGACGAAGTTGGAAAAGGCTCAGAGAAGGACGATGACCGATCGCTGACACTTCAAATTGATGTCATTCACGAATGGCAGCTCGTTGTGAGAAGAATGTGACACACTGGTCGTTTTCTGGCTCGCTTCCATGTCGGGTAGCTGATAGCTGAGACGGGAATGGGATATGAAGGGAACACTTGTGAGTGGTTAATGCGTTGACAGATGCGATCTAACATCCGTTACGGTGACTTTACGCACAGGCTCTAGGAATCTTCTTATCGGATAACAAAAGTTCGCGCAAACGTTGGCTGTGTCATGACAGGTAGCTTTCTGAGGCGGCGCGTTTAACAGCGAACACCTGTCCTGTTACCACCGGTCAGTTTGGCAATGGTGGCGTACGGTGCAGCCGCACCGGTCAGCACCAACCGAGATAACCTAGTCGAGATACGGTACACGTGTACTGGAGGTGCGCTACAGTGCGACTGTCCTACCACTTGATATGTTCACCGACACTTGACTTGGATAAAGCCTGAGAAAGGCCGGTGCTCGATGCACAATACATTACACTCGCGGCCACTGGCCGCTCGTTGGAGGGCTGTAGCTCGGTGCAGCTGCACTATATGAGCTGTCAGAGTGAGGTCGACTGCCCTCGTTCTGTGCTCGTCACCGCTGTGCTGTGTGCCGGTGCTGCGGCTCGGGGCGCGGCGCTGCTGTCATCCTGCGGTGCAACATCCGGTTATGATGACTCTGTCACCAGGGGAGGGAGGGGCCAGCCGATTAGGGGTGAGGGGTAACATCCTCGGGCGGGGAGCGACGCGGGTGAAAACACTCCCCCTCTTCTGTGCGTTGTGGTCGTGATACCAGGGAGGAGTTTCCCGAGTTTCCCGCTCCACTAAAACACTCCACCTTTCCTGCCGTCCTGCGTGAGTGACCGTGAGCATGGAAGTGAGCTGCACTGATTAGTGATGAGCTGCTTTATAGGGTTGCAGTCGGGCAGAGTAGCAAAGTGGGCACTGGGCAGAGTATGCTGATATGAGTGGGTAGACCTTCCATGTTGGAGATGACCGGCTCAGTGTAGCGGAACGATCAAACAGAGACTGTTACTCCGTTTCTTTGATAAGCTCGCGCACCGTCTAAGAAATGTAATTGCGTATAACTGTATCCGAACATTGGTTTTGGGAAACGTGAGCCATGTAGGCGGCTGGGCGCTGGGTGCTATTATTACCGTCCATAGACACATCCTGTGTCACTACAGTATGGGGTCGCATATAGAAACAGAACAAGGTCACCCAGTGTGGCCACAATCATTGGCGTCGGGTAATCAGTATGGCATTGTGAATCCATTAGTAATTTACAGCCAACTTGTGGGGTTGATAGGCCCCTGTTTTTTTTTCTTTCTCGTTACGCCATGCTTTCTGGCTCTGTCTCCATCTTAGCTCTTGCGTTATTGTTTAATGATTACCCCTTTTTTACTTCCCTTCTTTATGTAATAAACGTCCATTTCATCCATCATCCTCACCCTTGTCCGCTTATACTTCTTTACATCCCTTGCTACGATTTATCGATATCCCTTACTGTCTTGGACTGTCCTGTCTCCTCCTCATGACTCAGCTGGAGCTCAAGACTCAGGAGTCATGATTCAGTGCTCTCGTTTTTTTCGGTAACTCCACTGCGCGGCGACATACCTACCACGCTGACGTGGACATCCCGGCGGGCTCTGCCGTCCCAGCTGCCGCTGCTGGCGCAGGCTGCAGCAGTGGCCGCTCTGTCGGACCCATTCCAGCCGGACGGGATGCTCCCTGTTCTCGCGGTCGCTGACCCGGTGCATGTCATGACTGTCATTATGCCAGCGGCGTCCGCCGAACGAGCGGGTCATGGGTGCCGCGCGCCCTGGGAGCTGCCAAAGCGGCTGGGCCGTGGGTGGATTCTGTATTGGTTGCTGTGTGATGTGTGTGGCTGACGATATGTCGTCAGACGCCGCGAGGTGAACTGACGACATTCTGAGGGTAGTCCAGTCAGTGCCGGTATTGATCAAGCCCGGTCACTATGGCTCGCAGCATCGATGGCAACGCTGGTCACCACGCCTGCTTGTTGCCACCTCGGCCGCAGACCGTATGGTGTCAATCCGGCTGCTGGCACCAGCCCCGGTCCCACTCCGTCCCCGCAGTGACGCCGCCGGCACTCAGTCCGGCGCGGCGGGCGGGCACGTGGCACGTGTCCCAGCCATGTGTCGCAGCCATGGCATCTCATCAGCCTCCTCCCGCGGCGACAGTAGCCGAGTGGCGACTCCCCTCGGCGACGGACGGAGACGAGAGTGGAGCGCTGCGGGTGGTTGATTGGGCACACAGACACGTCCTGGAGGCAGTGTGAAAGGCGGGGATATTTTGATCGAATATGCGAGGTGCAGACGTGTGATTGATGAACTGCAGCCTCGTTGAAGTTTATTTACACTGCACTCAACATGCGGGTTAATTATTCCTTCCATTCGCACCGTTGAATGCATCGGCGAGTTTCTCTTTTCTCTCACCACGGTCCACATCATAAAGTCCACCGCGTGGATCTTTTTCACCAATTTTTGAGCATATACCTGTGGTTGTGCCGTCTCAGCGCCCGGTGAACAGTGACCTGGTCACTTGGTCAGCGATCCGAGCCGGCGAGTTTCACCTGCGGTCACCGACGTCGGTACTCGCCCGGTGTGACGGGAATTTCCAGATACACCTCTCGATCCCCGCCGATGACAGGCGCACGAGTCGATCCTGTGTTTGGCCTATTCTGTCGAACGGTCTATGCGGAGAATGCTGGTGATGTTGGCCGCTGACTTGATTTTGTTTGGCATCCATCTGCGGGGCTAGCCGTCGTAAACCCATCTTCGCCTGCAACTCCGCAGCTGTCAATAAAACTTCCTCTTTACTCGGCAGCGTGGGCTGAGGAGTGCATGAGATGAGCTTCGGGAATGATGTCGCCGGTTGGTTGCTGGAAATATGTTTTCTGTGAACAGAATATCGCTACAATATGGGTGTTATTGTGGGAATTGACAAGAAACAATCACGCTTTACGCTATGACATCAGTCAAGCTGCTGTTGACTGCACGTCGGTTGGTGAAACAAGCGAAGAACATTCTTCATTTTCATTCATACCAATAGCTGTGTAACTCCCGATCATACCGACCACAAACAGCTATTCAGCTCAGCACCCTGACATAACACTCTCTGTACCCA